AGAGAGAGAGAGAGAGAGAGAGAGAGAGAGAGAAAAAGACTATCTTTTAGAAAGAAATAAAGCTGTCTTTTTAGAATTTTTTTGGGGCAGAAAAGTGTGGTGGAAGGGGGTCAACTGGATCTAGAAGTTAGAAGATATGTTTTTTGGAACCTCCATGCCTCTAGCTAGCTTTAAAATCTATGGGTCTATTGGGAAATGGTACACCAAAATGGGGTGTACAGATATATTTTCCCTAAAAAGTAAAAGGACCAACTTATGCAGTCTATCCCATAACATGTGAAAGCAACACATTTTACTTGCATTTCTGTATTAGACTGTTTAGACTGTCAAAGAATACAGCTCACTTATCAGTTTTTTCAGGGATTCAGTTCATAACTGGATTAATCCATCCTTGTATCTATTGCAGATTACATCGGCCAGATCTTCAATAATTCAACCTATGTTACAATTATCCGGACGCTTGGATCTCGTTATGTCTCAGGTTTAGTAGGGACTTCCTTGGCCATTAATGTGACTTCAAAATGTGAAAGTGGTATCGGAAATGATCAGGCTGTCTTATGTGTGCAGATAACTGCTAGAAAGGGCGAAACACAAATTATCAGTGAAGTAGCGCATGATCAGGCAATTGTTGAAATGGAAGAAGATGAAATTGAAGATGAAGAGCAAGACGATATTAATGAGTATGTGTATGGAGAGGATAATTCAGAAAGTGAGAGTGATGTTGATGATAACCAGTAGGCTTTCAAAGGGCAGGAGTTCTGGGAGTGACCATCTGTCTTGCTAAAAAAAGCCCTCGGTTTCAGAATTAATCAAATGGGTTGATTTAGGGGCCTAACCAAAATTACTTTCGCCTTTATTTTCAATCCGAAACCGATTTCAGTTTTGTAAAATACTGGAATAGCATTACTATCCTTTTTTATCCTTTTTCTTTTTTTTTGGTTGCGGGGTTGGGGGTCATTTAGTTTGTCTTCTTTACCTAAGAAGTGAGAGTTGTCTTTGCCTAAAGTGAACAAAATTTCCTTGGGTTCCTGGGATAGAAAGTCAAAGCACCTGAATTTCCTCGAAATTGATGCTGTATTTGTTGAAAGACGAGCAAAAATGCCCATGTACCATCTCAAACAATACCTACACAATTTTGTTGACCTCCCCTTTTTTGAAGAAAATTTTTGTAAACCCATCTTGTAGTTCTTTATTCTCGTGAATGATTAAACAGCCATGATTTTCCAGAAATGAGCAGAATTAGCCCTATTTGTACTGGAGATGAGTGAATGTGTGCTTTGATGAGGCACCTTGTTTCCTACAAGTGTTTACATACCTTTCTTTTCTTTTTTTATTTGTAGTACAAGTAGCTTTTTCTGAACGTTGGCCCAAGCATTCTTGAAGTCCTTTTCGACCTTTTCTTCTGACTCTATTTAATTATTCTACTGCTCAAACTGGGGGATGTTTCCCATTAGTAATCGGGAGATTAGATCCTAAAAGCCAATGTTGAACTCTGTGCCTTGTAACTTCCTTCTGAAAAGTAATGTTGCAGCAACAGTATAATCTCTTTTTAGTGTTTTTTACATTCAATGTTGTAGCTTACAGCCCTGGTGTGAAATACCATGACATTTTAGAATGTAGTCCAATCAGTAAACTGATTCAAAGGCAAATTGAAATGCCTGCCCTTCGCCATTTGGTTATTTTCTTACTGTTTTTGCAAAGAAATACAATGGCATCTTAGAATGTGCTTAGTGAAATGACTGATTTAATGGTAGATTGAAATGCCTGTCATTAGCTGTTGGTCGTTTGCCTTGTGAGTTTTTATTGATGATTGTCAGATTGAAAATCTTGTTTCAAATAAGATTTTCTGGTGATCCCCAGTAGGGTTGTATCGATTTGAGAGTAACATACCATGTGGTAGGAGTTACAGTACTGTGGTTATGGCCACCAAAGCAACGTTAGGATTTTCCTCTGGAGAGATTTATTTATAGACTGACTGACAGGGATTTTGTTGGTGATATTGAACATTTCAAGTATGTATGCTCGTGGAGCTTTCTGATGTTGCCCAGTGAATTTGAAGTTTTCCTGGTGATGTCTGGTTTTTCAAAGGGGAAGTGTTTTCTGGTGAGTTCTAAGATGTAAAACACGCACGCACGCACGCACGCACGCAGAGAGAGAGTGAATGAGAGGGTGAGAGAGAGTTGCATAGGAGATTTGATTGTCATTGGCGATCTCGATTCAACTGTTTGGTTTTTACTTGGGGTCTCTATGTTGTAATTCCTCGAGTATTCTTCATTCTGTTGTACTTCTCCGAGTTCAATGAAAGTTAAGATGTTAAATATAGTAGTGGTTCGTAGAGAGCGGGAGAGTCGCAAGCGATGATTTAAAAAACCGACCGGTGACTAGGATTGACCACCGCAAAAACTGGTTTGGATTGGTGAGTCTGTGGTCAGAATTGCCATTTTATTGTGGAAAAATAGTGAACCGGCAAAAAAATACGTGCAAAAATAATGAACCGGTCACCAGTTTGTATCGGTGAATCGGTGTTTTACTATAGCAAAATGTTGTTTTACTAAGCAAATTGTTGGTTTTCTTTTAGACCAGGACAATTTTCTATATATTTAGAGAATTGATGGGGCGACCCGGTCAGACTAGGCAATTTCATGCCAACCCGGAGTTTTTGAAAGCACTGGTTTGCAATGATTCGCGTCAAAAGGGGTTATATTTTCTGACATCTCCATATTTCAAATTTAGGGATGCACAATGTTAATGTTAATTTGCTTGTCTTTCATTTTGAGGGATAAATACCACGTCCAATGTTCGACTCCTGCCACTAACTAATTCTACGAGAGAAGAAAAAAAAGGTAATCTCTCAAATACTTCTCATACTACACTACTAACTCTCAACGTGGTTTATTTTTGTAGCTACCTCCAATACTACACTATTAACTCTCAACATGGTTTATTTTTGTAGCTACCTCCGATACTACACTATTAACTCTCAACATGGTTTATTTTTGTAGCTACCTCCAATAGTACACTATTAACTCTCAACATGGTTTATTTTTGTAGCTACCTCCAACTTGAAAGTTGAAAGTTGAAAAGTGACCTTTTTTAAGAACAAACTATCCTCGTTTTAACCTTTTTGATTGGCACAACTTGAATATAGGCTGTCCGGCATGCAATGTGCTGGACAGGCACAATTTCAATATAAGCTCGTGTGATGCACTTTGTGTTGAACTGGTATAATTTGAATATCAGAAGCCAGTCCAGCACAATTTGTGTCAGTTAGAAATTGGTCACATTTTGTGCCGGACAGGCATATATTGGACATCACATTTTGGAAAATATTGGTTAAAATGGGCATAATTTGGTTTTAAAAAATTAACTCTTTTGCTTGAGGTTAGGTGTAAAAATAAATAATGCTGGAATTAATGGTGTGGTATTAAAGGGCAATGTCCAAAAAAGACAAATTGGGAGTATCTATAATTTTCCCCAAAGGAAAAGAGTAAGGGGGTTGATACGTATTTGCGATCCTATGCGGTCTTAAGATGGCTTCCCCTATTCTAAGAAAATTTCCCTTCTCCCTTGCATGCGTTTTCAGATGGACCTGAGCAGCTGGGCCCCTCTACCGTAAAGTTAGTCTCTCTGTTATGAGTCCTAAGTAACAAAACGGAGAAACTCATTAAGTCACAAGATAGAGGAATTTCAAATTTTTTTTAAATTTCTCAATTTCCACAAGGATTATCTATAAAGAGACCATTTATCTTTTGTACATGGATGCCACAATCATTCTTGTCTCTTAACTTGCAAAATGGGTGGCGGTAAAAGTGCCATTGAATAAACACAAAGTTCAAAAAATAAATTCTCGGACTGTGTGACTCACCCCAAGTCACACAATTTGACATCTAATGAGTGTGCGATTGATTGTGACCTCCATAAACAAAAATAAATAAAGAGTCTCTTTTGTAGACAATCCTATTCTCCCAAGTATCTTAAATGTTTTCTTTTTTTTAGTGTTGACTTGGGACATGGTAAGAATGGAAGACCAGCCCTCATCTTTCTTATGAAATTCTTAAAATAGCAGCAACCCTAAAATACATCCCCAAACTCAAGATAACCCCATGATATTGCATATTTCCCACAATCATTATAAAATTCTACCTCTGTTTGAATGCTACCTCCATTTGAAGCATAGTCATTAGGATCTAATGAGGGTTGGACCATTTTTAAAAAATTTATAGAAAAGAACAATAATTTAAAACATGGAATATATTAAAAAAATGTTTATCAACTTTGTTTAACTTGTCATACCAGTCAACAATGACTTTGATAAGTTTTCAACCATATAGGTTTTTACTTTAGATTTACTTTAGATCAAACATTCTAAAGCACTAGTCAGTGGTCTGACAATAAGATCAAGTGGTCCAGCCCAATCTTTATTAGGTATGATCCGAAATTCTCCAAATTTCCATTTTGTTGTGGATTTGGAGGATCTAACCCCTCTACTCACTACATCTCCCTTACACATTCTAAGGAATTACATCTCTTATATATAAACTTGAAACCCCACCATAAACTTACTAAAGATTATATTTGAAGCAGAACCAGTAGTTCAGAGAATAAATATCACTCTGCAAGTCATGGAAAAAATAAATATATTTAATTTAACCAAATCCATGAAGTATTGCAGTTTCTTGCTAGGCACTTCAATAGAGATTTATAAGGATTCAATCCATTGATCCTTCCTAAGGCGGTTGCTAGGGACCAGTTTTGGGTAGACAAGGAGTGAAGCCTAGAGTCTCCAGGTTTGGGTAAAGAGAGATACCTCAAAGTTCTTGAGGCATAACAGAGGACACACAAAGTTTTGGCGTTCAGGAAAGACGGACAAGGTGTTCACTTTTCAGGTTCGGAGAGAGAAACCGACCTTAGAGTTCTTTAGGCCTAGAAAGAGAATGCCAAAGCTTTTCAGGCTTGAGGAGAAGCGGATCCGGAGCATGCTCAGCAAGAGAAAAATATTAAAAAGCAAGCTAATTTAGAACTATTGGTCTAAAGTTTGGGAAACGTGGTATCACTGAAAGATATTTGAGGTTTCCCCTAAAAACTCATAGTAGTAATGATAATCACGAAATATTTGCAATTTATCTGAATCATTGATCTATAAATAATATTTGCTAACACAGTGGGGAGAATAAACAAGTTTCCCTTCATCCATGGCCTTGGACTCATTTTGCCTCAAAATCAGGCTATGGCCAGCTTCCTTCTTCCTAAAACCTCTCACTCTCATCAATTTTCTCACAGAACCAACTTCGTTCCACTTGCTAGCTGCTGCATACACATTCGATATGAGCAGATAAATTCCTTCACATTCAATTTCCTCCAATTCAAATCGTTTAATTACGCTTTCAGCTAGCTCCGTATTGCCATGGATCCTACAAGCACCCAAAAGAGCACTTAACACCGAAGCCTCAGGCTTCATTGGCATGTTTCTCACTACCTCCACAGCCTTGTCGAGAAGACCTGCTCGCCCCAAAAGGTCCACCATGCAACCATAATGCTCAACAGACGGCGTGATGCCGTAGACTTGACTCATACTATTAAACAACTCTTCACCTTCTTCAATTAACCCAGCATGGCTACAAGCTGACAAAAGAGCAACAAATGTTATATCATCAGGGGGGCAACCAGCCTTTTGCATCGCATGGAATAACTCTATAGCCTTGAAAGCGTGACCATGCATGGCTAGCCCAGATATCATAGCACTCCAAGTTGATACATTCCTATCATTCTGTCTGACACTCGCAAAAATACGATGGGCTACATGCATGCGCCCGCACTTAGCATACATGTAATAAGGGCATTATCAATGACAAGATCATGTTCAATCCCTGTTCGTATCAAAATGGCATGGAAACATGATCCTAGACCCGCATCCCCCATTTGTGAACAAGCTGAGATCAAGCTCACTGTGGTGACCTTATCAGGTTTTAGTGGCATTGTGCTGAATAGGGCTAATGCTCGATTAGTGAGGCCAAATTGCGCATAACCAGTGATCATCGTGTTCCAAGAGAGAAGATCTTTTGAGGGCATCTGATCAAATAATGTTTGAGCAAATTCTATGTCTCCATGCCTAAGATAACCCGCTATCATGGTGTTCCAACATACTATATCTCTACTAGGCATCAGAAAGAAAAGTTTGCTAGCATCATCGATAGGTCCACGCTTCGCGTACATGTCTATGAGAGAATTGCCTATAACTCCATCCTGAATCATCCCAATTTTCTCTATGTGAGCATATATACTTCTAGCCATCTCAAAATCACGAACCTCCATAAACACCTTTAGAATTATGCCAATGGACACCTCATCAGGCTTTAAACAAGACATTCTCATTGCTCTGAAAAGACTAAGGGCCTCTTCAAAATGCTTCTCCCTAACATAGTTTGAGATCATTGTGTTCCAAGAGATGTGATCTCTTTGAGGCATGTTATTGAACACTAGCAGTGAAAGTTCTAAGCTTCCACACCTAGAATACATGTCAATAAGCGCATTATATAGACCAATTGACAAACAAATTTCATATTCAGTAATAAAACCATGAACCCATTTTGCGGTTTTGAGATTTCCCAACTTTGCACAAGCTGAAACCACACTTAACATCGTTATATCATTGGGTTTGAGCTCTCTCTCTAGTAATAACGTTTTGAAGAGAGAGATAGCCTCCTCACCAAGCTTCATACTAACATATGCACTAATCATGACATTCCAAGAAACTATATCTCTTTGGTCCATTCGATCAAATAGCAGTTTAGCCGATAATAAGTCGCTCGACTTTGCAAACCCATCAATCATAGCATTCCAACAACCCACATTTCTCTCAGTCATTTTATTGAACACTAAGTATGCACCATCAAGGCACCTGCACTTCGCATACATGTCAATAAGGCCTGCAGCAACAAAGAAATCAGTCAAAATCCCTCTTTTCAGTATAATTCCATGAACCCACCTCCCCAGATCCAGATATTCCAATCTGGAACAAGAATAAAGCAAGCTTACCACTGTAATTTCATCCGGAACAACCCCATTTATCAGCATTTCCATTAAAATTTTAAAAGCTTCACAGTGTAAACCATTTTTAACATACCCAGATATCATAACGTTCCAAAGCGCCGAATTCTTGGAAATTTGGCCATGAAATAGCAGCCTTGGGGTTCTTAGATCACCAAAGGCAAAAGAGAGATGGATTAGAGAAACTTGAACGTAAGGATCAGAGTGAAAACCCGTTTTTAAAATTCGGGCGTGGATTTCTGAGGCCTTGTGAGAGGATCTTGAGAGAGAACAAGCTTTTAGAACAATGGGGAATGTAAAATTGTTGGGTGGAGCTCCATTTTGGATCATTTGGTTGTAGAAAGAGATTGCGGTTCGTGGACGGTTGGCTTGTGTATGGGATTTGATGAGAGCGTTCCATGAGGAGGGGTTGGCTTCTGTGGTGATTTGGCGGGTGATGGATTTGAAGAATGGGGTGAAGATGGTGGTCGGGTGCATTGAGGTGCATGATGCTTGTTGATGGAGAGAGAGACGACGATAGTCAAAATTAAGGGAGTGTATATAATGACACTATTGACCTTTACTCAAAACTATCACATCAAGTGAAATTTGAGAGATTAGGTGTGTTATAAAGTTCCAGGACACTTATTTTGAACTTTCGTTTTGGCCAATAGCCACCTACCGTTCAATAATCAAGATTAGTTGTGACCACCTTCACATACTTCTTTTTCAAAAATAATATTGTGTGCATTGAGGCTGAAGCTCTAAACAATCAAAGTTAGGTGCACCTACAAATAGCATCAAGAAATATGATTTCAATATTGAAAATCTTTATGATAACCTTAAAATTTATTGTCATCTCTAATTACAAAATTTAAAACTTAAAAAATAGTGTAAATTGAGCATATCTATATAAATTTGAAAATCTTGAAAATTGACAGTCCAAAAATGCATTACAAGATGCACTATTTTCAGACTTTAATCTATTTTTTCTCATGTCCACATGAGATGTTCAATTTGAGGATTTTTTAACATCAAAACAATATTTTCTAATGAAATTTTTCAGATGCACCTTAATTTGATTTTTTGAACCTCTCACTTATATAATTTTTTCTTTTAAATCAGTCCATGCCATCACTTTTACCCCAAAAATAAGATTATGCGCAACGCAGGGATGTTGCGGCAGTTTCCACTTGAATAAATTGATGAAAGAAATTCTAAGATAAAATTGGTTTTGGTACAAAAGGCCCAAATCGATTGCGGATGTTTGGATGTGAAGTTTGGCAGTTGAGAGTGGTTATTGGCTAGTGTAAGAAGTTTGTTTCAAACTTGGCGACAGTCTTAAGCGGTCAAATTTCATATCTTGCGACTTTAGTAGCGAAAATTTGTTCTCATGGTATACATTCTCCTGCATATATAAGTAGGGTGGCAACACTCGGGTACAGGTTGGGTCTGACTGGACCTGGACTTAGACCCAAATAGTGCTCCGGTCTAGATCTTGGATCAGAACATGATCTGTCGGGTCCAAAAATTAGACCCATACCCAAAACCGAGGTTGGGTCCATTGCCCTATAAACAAGCCCTCACAGTCCTAGTGGTGGGTTGCATACTCACGATCCCAAGCTGAGTTGGCAAGCCAGCTCCACGGACCTGACCAAATTTAAAATTTTAAAAAACAGAAATTCTTTCCCCCCCCTATTCCATACTAATAAGCTTAGAAATCTCATACAAAATAGAAATCCCACAGATGTCACACATATATGATATTAACTAAGTTTCATCATTTACATAATTTAGTTGGATTACTATTTCCTTTGTCCAATCGTAACCCTACTTAAAATAAGGTTTTTATCAGTCTCCAATAGGAAGATCTATTGTAATCCAATGAACCATAAAATGCTGTAGTCATGTACACAGTATCACCAATGAAACAGAGGGCTGAGGAGAGATGGAACACAACTTGATCGTACCTCAAATTTTGGGATGTAAACTTTTTGTTCTTGGTTTTTGAAACGGGGTACATACCTCTTAAACCTAATAACCAACCTCCAAGAAAAAAGTTAAATAGGACACACTCTGCACCTCAAAAAAATGAACTTCCTAAGGACGAATAAAAATCACCAGAGGCCAAGACTGAGTTCAAAAACTTAAAAATCCAAACTTTCTTGAAAAATAATTACCTGCAACGTTTTAGATGGATTTAAAAGTTTCATATCAAAAAATTTCTCATAAGTTACTCTTCCGCCTGAGGGGAGCTGTTGTACAGTAATGCTCCTGCAGGCGCATACCTTTCACGCTCAGGACCATTTGGAACTTAGAACCAAAAAGCGCGCATCAGTGCCTCAAAATCTTAAAAGACCAGAAGGCCAGCATCAAATCATACCAATGGCACATTAGTGAGAGTGGAGACCCCAGCAAAAAACATGTTACAAAGTGAGTATACTAGAACGATATCCTCAAACTTCTATTGGTTTTTCCTTTCTTTTTGGGCTTCATCACATTTTTAGAGGTTTCAGACCCAGTGAAGCTCGAAGGCGGTTAGCTTCAGCAATCTCTGGGTCTGGATGGTCTGTACCATCATCCTTCTTCTTCTCCTTTTCCTTCTTTTTGCGCTCTTTCTCTTGTGGGGGACTAGGGCTTCGGTGCCTCTTCCGATGGTCCCCAGCTCCATCCCGGTCCCTCTCTTTGTGATCTCTACTCCTACTTCGGCTTCGCCGTCTCTCCCTCTCTCTCTCCCTTTCACGGTCCCGCCTGTGGTGGTGATCCCTACCATCACGACCATACTCCTCATCCCTCAAGCGATCACGATGATGCCGGTCTCTCTCTCTATCTTTATCTCTTCCTCTACCACGGTCACGATCGTAGTCCCGATCACGATCATAATCCCGATCACGGTCATAATCCCGGTCCCTAAAACACAAATAGGTGCTTTGTGATTGTTCAGACATTTCTAACAAGAAGAAAAAGCCAAATTACCAACGAAAAATAAGGATTGTATACTATCAAACCATTTACTTTCAGTAAAATGAGGTTACAATTTTATCTCAGCCATTGGATGTGAAATCCTACATATTTAAGTGTTACAACATTCGACAAAATTTAATTGGGGCTTTGTGCCCAATCAATAACACATCTGTATCCACTTGATTTCACACTTAACGGTCAATAATAATTGTCACCTCCTTGTACCAAAAAAAAGTGGTCTAATTATACACTTTTCCTAAAAAATATTCATGTCACTTGTATAACTAACATGACAACATTTTAACACCCAATGAATAAATTGCATTACCAACTTAAAAATAATAATAATTGAAGTCAGTGTCACTAGATTTGCTTCACTTCAGCCGAAGAGGCTGAAGCTTGGGGCTCCAAACCAACGCGAAGCAAATCCCTCCTGACAATTTAAAAAATATCAATAAAATATCATCCTTATGTTCATAATATCAGATAAATGTGAAAATATCAGCAAAATATATCCTCTTTTTTTTTTTGGAAAGAGAGCAAAATATATCATCATTATTTTAGAAAAGACAAAAAATTCTTGTAAATGCACCAGGTTAGATATATTGTTTTGAAACTTCTTTTGTTTTATATATCTTCCCTAAATCAGATGAAGGGCCGAAGTGCTCATCTTGCCACTCCAAAATGTAAGTGGTAATAAAGTGAATCAAACAACATTTGTTGAAGGACCTTTAGATTACTACTGCATTAAATTTATGTATACCGTTCATTGAAGTACCAGTAGTATACTAGTAGCTCAGAGTATCGAACTAAACTAAATAAACGATGGTTATGTGAGGAATAAAGCACACAGTGACACACCATCATAAAAACATAAAGAAATTTAATATAAAATAAAGTCGAATAAAAGGAGATGACATCCAAGAAGCCAAAGTTGTATGACCCATCATACTTCTCACTGTACACTACCAGTACAGAGAAACCTGGCAGGGTCGTTCCATAATTTTCTTTAGGAAGCAGTCCTTTCCACCAAGGCCTGAAATGCCTTGATAGTAACAGAAGTTAGGCATGTTGAAAATTCGCCAAGCATAAACGCTTCCATGAAGTCAGTTATCAAACTGGCTAGAAACTTCTTATCGAAATTGATCAGGTGAAGGAAGGCAATAGAATCATATTTTGCAGATCAAGAACAAAGGATAAGAAAAGACCACATAAAACAACAATCTGGCTGAAACCTGAAATTTAAGAACATCAAATATTCAAATAAAAAAAAGGAAAAGGATATCATGTCCAACAGAATGTGGAGAACTGATGAACGGTGGGAAGCACACGTGTGTGTGTGTGTGTGTGTGAGACAGAGAGAGCTCCACCAGGACACAACATGATATGGTCAGTCCCACTCTCATTTTTTGAGGAAAGTCCCACTCTCTCCCCTTACCATCCATAATGTCAATGGACAGTGATGAACTAATGGCCTATGCTTTTCAACTAGTCCACTGGTTTTAGCATAAGTTCCATTTAACAATATATAAAACCGAGCACAAATAAAGTGTTAAAGCTGTAAAAAAAGAAGAATAACACGAATTATCCATATATATTGAGTCATATGAAGAAGTATACCTGTATTGCCTATGACTATCACGCCTCCTGTCCCTATCTCTTTCCCTTCCAGGACTCCTTCCACGATAGGAATCCTACATAGACGAGAAAAAACATGTTATGTACACTGCAAATTACAAGTTTTGAGAAAGATAGGGAAATTTAAAGCTAGTCATGCAAGAGAATCAGCTCCAAAACCTTTTCATGCGCCCCATTTTCAAGTGCAGCCGTAGCTTGGTCCTCTTCTTCTTTTTCTTCTTCCTCTTCAAAGTCATCTTCTAATGCACTTCTTCTAGGTTCTAACTGCCCTGCTGATTCAAGAGTCCATCTGCAGGTGAGGGACCGAGTCTAGAGATTCAGTTCCAGAAATAAGCCACTCATCCTCAATGAAATAAAGGGGGCCAAAAACAATTGTGTGAACTAAAAATAACAATCTAGTATAATGTCACAGAATCATATGGAGAAGGAACTTTATGAACCATTTAAGAAAGTGCATTGTGATCATCTAAAAATATAACATTTACAACAGGGATTTTATTTAACAAAAAGACCCAGTAAACATGGCAATGAGTCGATTTTTTTGCTGTCATGCTTAAAGATCTCAGTGACAGCTTTACTGATGGCCTACTGGATGGTAAAAATCATCCATCGCAAAGGGAGGACTTAGAAGATGGATTAGATTGGTAGGGTCCATGCCTAGGTTCCTAGTTAATCAACCACTTTTAGAGTCTCAACATGAAGAGAGCCCGAACTCTTACTAATGTTAGTGAATGCATATTTCTTGGATGTTGCGGGAGATATGTGCTGGTAAACTACCCGATCCAAATATTAATAATCATAGCAGTACCATAGATACAGAATTGGACGGAAATATTATCCAAAAACACATTGACAAGGTCATTTTCTCTCTGGTTGCTAAATAATCCTGCAGCCACTTGGAGGCCTACATCAGATCCCCTGGCTAAGCCCACTCTATGGGAACTTAGCCCATCCCAATATGTTTTCAAAGCATGTGAACAACATAACCTAGTTTCAGGAGTTCATGGGCAGTTGGTGGATTTATTTGCAGTCTAAGGATGAACTTGCTCATATATATATATATATATATATATATATATATATATATGTGTGTGTGTGTGTGTGTGTGTAGTAACTACTACTATTAGTAGTAGTAA